ATAGGTATATAATAATAATAATAATATATTAAAAGATAATTATAATAAGGTTTATAAATAATATAAACTTTTTTATAATTAACCTTTAAGTAAAATAGAATTATAAGGTTTTTAAAGTAGCGTAATAAATATATAAAACTTAAATATTAAAGTATAAAATAAAATTTACCTTTTAAAAAAGTAAACTTATTTATTTCTTTAAAAGCTAAAAGGCATTTAAATAAAAAGTTAAATTTAGGTAAATAATAATATAGCTAATAAATAATATAAAGTTCCTAGGAATATAATTAAATAGGAACTTTAAATAGAAATAATACCTTATTAAACTTAAAAAGAAGTTAAATATTTAAATATATATAATAATTAAGTTATAAAACTTAATATAAAATAATAATATAGTAAAAGTTAAGCAGGTTTATTTTATAATAATATAAAATACTTTAATATATAGGGCAGTTATATAATATAAATAACTTAGGGAAAATAGATTAAAAGGTATAGTTAATTCCTTTAAAGGTATTTAAAATATTTATATTAAATATATTATAAAGGCCTTTAAAATTATACTAATATATTAATTTAAAACGGAATTAAATATATGCTTTATTAACCTATATTTAAATAATAAAGTAATAATAAATAAAGGTTAATTAAAAAACTTAATATATTATAAAATATTAATAAAGGTTATAATAAAGGTTAATTAACTTATATAAGTATTTTAAAAATGGTAGGTTAAAAGGTAAATTAAAAGGAAACCTATAAATAGTATAAAGAATTAATTATAAAGCGATTTAACTATAAATCCAAACTATTAATAAAATAAATAAATAAAGGGGAAAGAACTAAATAATACTTTAATTAAAAAATAAAAAGCAAGATAAAGCTATATTAAAATAAAATATAGCTACCTTATAATAATAAAGTAAGAGCTTAATAAAAAAAAGGTATTATAAAAGTTTTATAGATTTTTAAAGTATAAAGTAACTTTAATAATATAAATATAAATTGGAAAAATAGGACTTAAAGCTTTTTTATATAAAAGAAAGGTTTTAAAGTTTTTAACCCTTTTTTATAAATATATAAAGAGTAAAGAAATTTTATAATATATAATCTTATAATATAGGTTATTAATAAATAAAAGAAAAACCTTAATTAAAAAGTTAATTAAAATATAGCTATAAATTAATAAAGATTTATAAATAATAACGGAAGATTTAATAAAGATAAAAGCAATTATAAAGTAGCTATTAAATATTAGGAAAATAATTATATATAATAAGATTAAGGGGATTAGGGGGAGTAAAAAAGGGGGAATATAAAAAAAAAAGAACCTAAATAGGGAGGCCGAAAGGGCCTCCCTAAAGGTCCTTAAGGAAAGGGAGGAAGCTTTCTTTTCCTTTTTAAATAATTAAGGAATATAAGGAAGGTAAAAAAGTTTAAGCTTTCTTTCCCCTCTTTTTACTATATAGTTAAACAATATATACCAATTTATATAGGGTTAAAAAGTAGTAAAGTAATGGTTAAAGGTTATATAAGGTTTTTATTTAACTATTATATAGTTTTATTTATAGATATATAAATAAAAGGATTATATTATATAAGTAATATAATAGATATATAATAATAATAATATATAAAGCTATAATTATTTAATTTAATATTATATTTAAAGTATTTTAATTATTAAAATTTAATTTAAATTTAAAGCTTAAATATTATAATATTATTAATTAATTATTATTTTACTTTAAAACTATTTAAAACTATATATTATAATTTAAAAATAAAAATAAATTTATAATAATAAATAACTTCTTATTTATTAATAATACTTTTAATTATAAAAATTTATAAATTTATATAATAAAGCTATTTAAAAGAGTTATTAAATAAAAAGTTAATAAATAGGATAACGCATCTCCCACTTAACCTGGCCACCCAATTGACCTGGCCACCCCCCTAGCCCATACAAATAACGTCGGTGCGCTAATCACGTGATAATCTAATAACTCTACGAGTAATAATTGTATAAAATAATAAAATATACCATTAGATTCGTAATAAAAAGAGCTATTTAACGGTACCCTTTACTAACTTTTACGACTTATATTCGTGGAGTTATTAAGCAATACGCTAAAGTAAGCGCTAAATTAATCCTTGCTTAGCGCCCCTTTAGCATATTGCTTAATATCTCGCTTAATAAATTTTATAAAAAATAGTAAAAAAATATCACTGGGTTCCTTATTAAATAACGGATTTAATGGTACTAATTATTAAATTGTAGGACTAGTATTAGTTAAGTTATTATAAATTAAAACATTAAACTTTTATATAGGTTAAGGGGGTGTCCAGCTTAATTGGGTGGCCAGGTTAAGTAAGAGATGCATTATAATAATTATATTAATAATTAAGGTTAAATTCTTTACCTTAATTTAAATTATTAAAAAGGTTATATTTATTAATTAATTAATTAAAGAATTAAGAATAGCTTTTAATAATTAATAAATATTTAAACTTATTATAAAAGATATTATTATATTATAAATAAAGTTATAATATATTAATATTTATAACTATTAACTATATTAAAAAGTTTTTAATAAAACTTTTAAAATAAAATATATCTTTATTATTAATATAATTATTAATAGATTAATTAAAACACTTTTTAAAGATAAATGGAATATATTTTTATAATAATTTAACTTTATAAATATTAAAAGCATTTAAAAATTATAAATATTAAAGGAAATATTAAAGGAAAAATAAAATATATTTAAGGACTTATTAAAAAAAGGAAAATTAAACTTATAAATAATTGAATAAATAGATTAATATTTTTATTTAATAGGAATATATAAGGTTATTATTAAATATATTTATAGAAATTATCTTTAAAAGAATACTTCTTAAAAGGATATATTAAATATAAAGGGTTATATTTTAAACTAAAATATTAAATAAATAGGAACTTTAAAGTAAACCTATATTTAAAAGATAAGGACCTTTATATAATCTTAATATAATAAACGCATTACATTAATAATAATAAAATTAATTAATTAATATATTAAAAAATTCTATATGCTATCGCTTATATTTAATAGTATACTTTAGCGTATTGCTTAATAACTCCGTAAATATAAATCCTAGAATTTAGTGGAGAGTACCGTTAAATAGCTCTTTTTATTACGAATATAATGGTATATTTTATTATCTTATATGACTAATATTCGTGAAGTTATTAAATTATCACGTAATTAATACACCGACGTTTCTTATATGAGCTGGGGGGGTGGCCAGCTCAATTGGGTAGCCAGGTTAAGTGGGAGATGCGTTATGATGGCCCTACTATATAAAGATTTTATAAGGGCCTTTATCTTCTTAACATGGGTTTACCTTAAGGTCCCCGTTTATCCATTATCCTAGCTTGAGATATAACCCTTTATATTCGACAATTAACAGTGCAGACATGTGTCTTAAACTCACCAATCTACCTACTTAACTAGGTACGTAGTACGCTTATGACTCAACGTATGTACTATATTGTAGTGGAGGTGGATACTCCAGGCCAGGAGTGGACGGGGAAGGAAAAGCCCATGCTCCGGGCTAGGTTTAGCGAGAACAGCTGCAACCCCTCACCCCAACTCTACCCCCACCAATTGTCACAGCTGCGAGCATCTGGTGGTTCTGGACACCAGCATCACTGAGGAACAGGTGTGGTTCCTGCATGATAACTCAACACATGCTGTAGATACAGACTGTATATCTACGTCCGTGCTTGTGATAAGGCGTCAAGTCAAACGAACTACCTGTACATCTGGTGTTTTTTCCGTCCATTGCTACTCAACATACCAGCTTGCCAGTCGTGTTTTTCTACAATGGCAGAGGAAGGGATACATCACTGGGTATGTATCAGTGCTTGTATCAGGCAGTAAGTACCTATATATAAGCATGTATAGTGATCTGGGGAGATGCAGATAATTCATATTGCCTGTGGTAGGTGACAAGTCTCATCCTCGGGGCAGCAACATGGCACCATATGAACTACTTCGTACATTGCTATTAGGTACCTACAGCTTCTAGCACACGGATTCTTTTGACTGGAATTCAACTGCTGAAGTAGAAGAAAGGTTAATATCATGTCTACTAAGTTATACTAAGAAGAATACGTAGTATTAAGTATGCTCCTTTATCCACGTGTGATGGATCTGAACCCTCGTTTCTTTATTAAACTCGTTGTTGTTCGAGATTTTCCCCGCCAGAGTCTCGATAAGACAGACAGTGTTCAGTTGGCGGCCCGCTGGCAAACAGAGACCGGACCCACCACCAAGACAATGCCGCGCTGTCGTTACCATCCATCCGCCCCTCTGCCCAAGACCAAGCATTGGATTGCGGGCGCGCAAGGAAAGGAGCTTTGACTCTTTGCCTCTTGTCCTCGCTTTTCTGGCTTGTGATTGTCAACAAAAATATTCGGGACCCACACACCCAAAGACTCGCCGCCTGCCTGCCTGCCTGGTCCCGCCTGGCGCTGGCCTGCCCTACAAGGCCCCTACAAGGCCCTACAAGGTACAGAGATACACCCATTGGTCTACCGCCAGTGTACCTACCTACCTCAGGATACATAGGTAGTTTACCGCCTACAACAGACAGACAGACTACCTGCAGACTTCTGAGCAGACCCTACAGTGTACAATACCAGTCTGTACCAGCCAGTACCGGCCTGCACCGGCTTGCACCTGTACACTAGCAGGTACCCTACTACTGGTACTTTTCACCAAGTACCTACATAGTACTGTACCTACCGCAGGAGCCACAACTCCCCACTGTCCACCAGGTGACGAAACCTCGCTCTTCATTTCTGCACTATTCTACCACCTCCTTTCCGCCATCTGCAGTCTGCAATCTTCTGCTCTCTTTTTCAAGCTTCACACTATTTCTCTCCTCTGTGCCCAGGACCAGTCCTCCATATACCCCCGAGGCCACCCGTCCTACCCTTTTAAGCTTCTTGTCCCTTCCTTCGTCGCCTTGACACTCTTCAATCTACTAGCATAGGTAATCCATACACGACTACGACTACGACTACGACTACACACGCCCACCTGCGGGTCCCCTCCTGACCGACGTCTTTTTCTTTTTGTTGATGAACTTACAATAACAACATACATACTCTACTACCCTCCGAGCCCGCAATCGATCTGGATCACGACCCATACTACTGGCACGGCCATTTGACTACCCATCATGGCTGAAAACAGTGACATTAACGCCGTCCTCAGCAATTCGCTGTCCACAGGTGAGCGCATCCATCGCCCCCCCTTGCCCCCCATGTAGCCCCTCAGCACTGTCACCACCGCAGCAGTAGCAATCATGTCCAGGTCGTCCAACGCGACTCTGCCTTTTTTTGCTATCATTTCTTTCGGCCGCATAGCTAACCCCTTGCCTTACTCCTTTCAGATGCTGCGACGCGAAATGGTGCTGAGCAACAACTCGCCCAGGCCGCTGAAAACAACTTTGTACGTCCCTTTCTTGGCCAACCTAGCCTCTACCCCAACCCACAGCTTACTTTACTATCACTGTTACCATGAATGCTAATGCTTCATGTTACTGTAGCCTCTCTATCTTGCCACACTCGTCCAGTCCCTGGCCGACGAAAATGCGGAGGCCCAAATAAGAGTTGCCGCGGGTTTGGCCCTGAAGAACTCTTTCACCGCCCGCGAGTTCGCTCGAGCGCAAGAATTACAGGCCAAATGGCTACAGCAGACAGACCAAGAGACGAAAAGTCGTGTCAAGGCTCTTGCCCTTCAGACCCTGTCGTCGAGTAACAGCCAGGCCGGAAACGCTGCTGCCCAGGTCATCGCTTCCATCGCTTCTCTTGAACTCCCCAGGGATCAATGGCCTGAGCTCATGGGAACCTTGGTGCAAAACGTTAGCAATGGCGCTCCTCACCAGAAACAAGCCTCTTTGACATGCATTGGATACATCTGTGATAGCCAAGATGCCGAGTTGCGGACAGCGTTGGTTGCCCACTCAAACGCTATCTTGACCGCTGTGGTACAGGGTGCTCGTAAGGAGGAGACAAACCAAGAGATCCGCTTGTCTGCCATATATGCGCTTGGTGACTCTCTCGAGTTCGTGGGCAACAACTTCAAGCACGAAGGTGAAAGGAACTACATCATGCAAGTTGTCTGCGAGGCTACACAAGCCGAGGATTCGCGGATACAACAGGCTGCATTTGGTTGCCTCAACCGTATTATGGCTCTTTATTACGAGAACATGCGCTTCTACATGGAGAAGGCCTTGTTTGGTCTTACCATTTTGGGAATGAAGAATGAAGACGAAGATGTTGCAAAACTCGCCGTCGAGTTCTGGAGTACTGTGTGTGAGGAAGAAATAAACATAGAAGAGGATAACTCACAAGTATGTAATGACCATATCCCCATGTTCTCACAGTGGCGCGCTAATCAGGCATCAAAACAGGTCGATAACACTGAGCAAATGCGGCCATTCTATAACTTTGCTCGTGTAGCTACAGGGGAAGTTGTCCCCCAGCTGCTGACTCTTCTGACTAAGCAAGATGAAGATGCCGCTGACGATGAATATAACCTGGCTCGCGCCGCGTACCAATGTCTTCAGCTGTATGCACAAGCCGTGGGCGCTAATATTGTCCCTCATGTACTTCAGTTTGTCGAGCAGCACTTGCGTTCCGAGGATTGGCATTACCGCGAGGCTGCTGTGGCAGCCTTTGGCGCAATCATGGAAGGGCCTGAGGAAAAGACTCTGGAGCCTATCGTTAAGCAGGCTTTGCCTATCCTCATCAGTATGATGGAAGACAGCTCCATCTTTGTCAAGGATTCGACCGCTTACGCTCTGGGCCGAATCACTGAGGCTTGCTCAGATGCTATTGATCCTAACACGCATCTAGATCCTCTTATTAGGTCTTTATTTGCTGGTATCCATGACTCGAAGATGGCAGCTTCGTGCTGCTGGGCGCTCATGAACTTAGCCGACCGGTTCTCGGGTGACTTCGAGGCTTCGTCAAACCCGATAACGCCTCACTTCAACCAGAGCGTGCAGACCCTCCTCGAGGTTACATCGCAGGCTGCGGCTGAGACGACTGTTCGTACAACTTCGTACGAAGTCCTTAGTGCATTTGTCCAGCATGCGGCAACAGATAGCTTCCCGGCTATTGCTGAGCTATCAAATGTAATCATCAAGCGTCTCGAAGAGACCATTCCCTTGCAATCTCAGGTTGTAAGCATTGAAGACAAGATCGCACTGGAGGAGATGCAGACTAGTCTAAGCACAGTCCTTCAGGCTATCATTCAGCGACTAGAGAAGGAGATTGCACCACAGGGTGACCGAATCATGCAGGTAGATCTGCAGATTCTAAACACCGTTGGACCTAGGTCTAGCGTTCCTGAGGCTATATTTGCTACTATTAGTGGCCTATCAAACGCTATGGAAGAAGACTTCTTCAAATACATGGAGGCATTCTCTCCTTTCCTTTACAACGCCTTGGCCAACCAGGAAGAGCCAAGTGTCTGCTCAATGGCTATTGGACTGGTCAGCGATATTACGCGCTCTATGGGTGAACGAAGCCAGCCATACTGCGATAACTTCATGAACCATCTGCTCAACAACCTTAGGGTGTGTATTCCCATGCTTCCAACTTTCGCACACGCCGTATTACAGCTTCTAACCTGCTTATAGAGTGCTGCTCTTTCAAATCAGTTCAAGCCTGCCATTCTGCAATGTTTCGGTGACATTGCCAGTGCCATTGGTGGCCACTTTGAGACTTACCTATCTGTTGTCGCACAGGTTCTACAACAGGCGGCTGCTGTCACTGCTGCTCCTGATGGATCTTACGAGATGTACGACTATGTAATCTCTCTACGGGAGGGTATCATGGACGCCTGGGGTGGCATCATTGGGGCTATGAAGATCAGTGACAAGAGTGAGTACCTCCGCATGAGCCCAACAGCTTAATTTTACTGACATCTAGAAGCCCAAGCGCTCCAGCCGTACGTGCAATCCATTTTCCAGCTACTCAATATTATTGCGCAGGATATGAACAGAAGCGAGTCCCTGATGCGATCTGCTATGGGCGTTATCGGGTATGTAACATCAACTCTTTGATCATGATGGCAGTACTGACGTCTATAGTGACATGGCTGATGCTTATCCCAACGGGCAACTCGCCGACGCATTCCGGCAAGACTGGCTTAGCCTCATGATAAAAGAGACCAAGAGCAACCGTGAATTCCAGTCGCGGACGATCGAAACTGCTCGGTGGGCTCGTGAACAAGTCAAACGCCAGCTCGGCGGTACCTCATCGGTCATGCAGCAGACATGAAAGTCTCGCAATTTATTCTTACGACCTCCGCATCGCCCCCAATGCCCTTCCGAAGTCACGACACGCAGCTTCTCCCGACCAATAAGCCGGACGTATCCAGGCCTATTCGCATATGCCGAAGTCGGAGGAAACCAGCAATACCCCCTCGAATACCCCTTACCCCCTTCCCAGCACCTTACCCCTTGGTCCTCACTGCCTTTTGAATGAGACATGTGTATATAGATCTTCTTCCACTGCATTAGTAATCCAATACCCCTGATATCACATAGCCCCTTGAACCGTTACGCGTCACGTCCTCACATCACCAAAATGTATCCCCTTTTGCTGAGTTTTGATCCGGTTTTGAAAGCAGAAATGACCCGGACCTATGCGTTTAGAGAGTAGATTACATCATGTAACGCCCCCTTCCCGTGAAGGGAGGCCACGAAGTCATGTAAAAAGAGGAACATCGGTGGAGTTACAAAAAAGGTCTTCAGCCTGGAAGAGAGGATACACAGCGCATATATGCCCTGCGTGACTGATAGTGGTTCAAGTGAACATATACCCCTAGCCCGACGATGATGTTGCTTACGTCTAGAAATTTGGGAACTGGGACTGTCAGTCGGGGAACGGGTCAAGCAAAGAGTTTGCTCTTGTGGTTTGGGGGTCATGAAGTAGACCAGACCGCGCCCAATTCAATGGGGCCGAACACGACTTGTTCACCCCAGCACAGAGCTTACTACGCATCGCGTTACTGACTCGCATCAATCTAGCACAGGCAAATTCAATTGTGCACCTGTAGATTAGTGCCTATATTAGAAATAAAAGCACTATCTGCCCCCCCCTACAACGATCATATTTTGTTTCTTGTGTGAATACCGTAAGTGACTTAATTACTACTCAGTAAACCTGTAGTACGATCAACTTTTATTTTCCTGGTGTACTTGCTGCTCTTCAACTGTAGGAAATTATTATGTTTCTTATATTTAGTTAAATGAATGTGGCTAAGGTAGGCTACATACAGTAGTTTATATTTGATACAATATCTTAGGTCAACGAAGGTAAGAAGTATGAGAGCTTTTTTTTATTAAATATTGCGTATAATTATGGAGGCTCACCTATAGAACCTGTAATGTAATTAATGATGGGGTAATTAGGGTGCTAACTAATTACCTTGTGTGAGTGAGTGTGAGGACTGAGAAAGTGAGGAAGGGAAAGTTGACTGAGTCTTATGCTTGTCCTAGGTAAGGAGGGATATGATCCAACTTAATTTTATTTAGGTTTCCCCCCTTTTCCGAGTTGAGATCGATGTCACCTTATAAATGACATGTAGATTATAAGTTTATGTATATAGGTTCCTCTCGAGATAGAAGTTAAAATACTCGGATAAACAGATGCGCGAATGGAAAATGTCTTTTATACAGGGCATGGGTTAATGTTCTTATTCATTTTGCTCAGCTAGGCAAAGAGAGGAAAAGCAAATACCATTAGGATATTCAAGGTTAGGTAATAGGTGTTCCGCAATTACATTAATCTAACAAGGCAGAGTTTTTCTCTTTCTTTTAAGTAGTCATATCTGCAACAACGGAATAACACACTCGTGTATAGATAGATAGGTAGGTATATACATAGACACATACATTATATACATACACAAGTAAATAAGTACGCACGTACGTAAATGAAGATAGATAGAAGTACGCTCGAACGCTCTTTTCGTAACCTGCTTCCTTCCTTCCATTTACTTCAAATCCAAATCCAAATCCAAATCCTCACCCACAACACCGTATACTGACTAAGGTATGTCCTCCCCTTCCCCGCTTAGAAATGAATAAAGCCCAGTACCAAGTCTAGGATATGTCGAACCGAGAATCACCGTAGTTACATTGATAGCTTGGTAAATATTTGAAAAAGTTTCCTCTGGGGTTAGATTGTATCGTATCTCGTGGATTGTGAGTTCCCATAGGGTAGGTGTATATACACGATTATATATAAGTGCAATAGGGTAAAAAAAGGGTCATGCAGTGTGGAAAACGTGCTCGCAGTGTGTTCAGAGATGGTAAACAAGAGCGCTTCGCTGAAAAGATGTGGAAAACATGTTTGGTATATAAGCTGGCTGATTCCTCGTAATACAGTGAATACATGACAGGTGCCGGTTTTGGTTCAAGGCCCTGTTCCAATGGGCCCGTATGGGCTATAGATGGCGGTCGTCGCGTCGATGGCCGTCCAGCGTGCACCGCCGTCAACCATGATCTGGAGATTCGAGTCGAAACCGTCATTGAGCGCTATGTTGTTGTAATCATAGTACGCGGCTGCATATGCGTCCATGGGCGGTGCGGCTGGTGGGTGCGTAGATGCTGATGCTTGAATAAGCATGTCGAGACCAGTGTTCTGCGCATATGGCTGCGCTGCGTAGGTCTGCTGCGGTGGTGGCTGGGATGACGATTGCGACTGTGGGTGTATATGGGTATGCGGGTGGCTCGCCGGATGTTGCTGTGGCTGCGGCGGTGGCGGCGGCGGTGGTGGCTGCTGGGGTTGAGAATGATGTGCTTGTGCGAGGGCGACGTGAGGCGGAGGTGGAGGAGCATATGATGATGGAATGATGGGCTGTGGCGTGTTGGGTTGTGGTGATGACGTGACGTATTGTGTTTGTGAGAGAGGCGGCAGACACACGGGTTCTCCGTAGGCACTTGGTGCTTGCTGTAAAGGTGCGAGGCGCGGAGGTTCACTTGCAGGCCCCATATCGCCTGACGTATGCCGGTGATCTGCTCCTGTCGGCGTTGTGGAACGTGTTGTGTGAAACTTTTTGATTGAGGGTGTGCCGCGGATGCCCGGGGCGTTCAAGCGTGGGTGCATAGCGCCAAGGGCGTATGGTTGAGGCTCTTCGATCTGGTTCAACTTTCAAATTAACCTTAAGTACAAAGTATGGCCGCACGAAGATGACCACGGTGGCCAGGGCACATGGGGTGAAAACTACTTACGCCATCTGTCATAGTACCAGATTGAAATGAGATCTTCTTAGGGTTTTGATCTTTGAACCACTTCTCCAAGCCATTGGCCCAGGCAGTTGCGAGAGGCCATGTGTGTGAATATGCCCTCAGTATGCTAAGACTCCGTGCATAAATCATACGGCCTTCAGCTTGTGCTGCTGGAAGATCATTTCCTACGTGTTGTACATCCACTATCGAGGATTTGTTAGTGTCACTAAGCCCTGTTCATCGTTTAGGAAGAGCTTACACTGCGGGAACTTGACAAGGTAAGAGGCCAGTAGACCACAACTATATATGATGAAAGCCTAGAAGTTGTGGTTAGCTTGAAATAGGGGCATTCTGAGACGGGTGGACGCCACTTACGGCCATTTGTGAACCCAAACTTTCAATAGGTGTACCGTCCTCGAAATGCGCATCAACTTGCTCGTACAAGACCCGGACATTGCAGAACAAGTCATTAGACATGTTTTGATAAAACTTAACCTCTGGGTTGGACGGGTCTCCTTGTGCGTGACGAATCATCCTGGCAAACAAAATTAGTCAGGGAACACCAATTTCTGGAACCATCACAAGAACCTACTCGCTCATATATACCTTGCGCAGGACGATGTGACAGAGACGCAGACAACCCGTAAGGCTGAGATAAGCCTGGCATGAAGTAAGCCACGAACTCCAAGGGCTTTTCATTTAATCGATCAACTTACTAGATCTTCCTCATAGTGTCTGTAGCCACCCAGTAGTATTCTCCCAAACGCATGCTCCGGAGGCAGGTCTCTTTCCCAATCCCTCAGCCGGCGATTCAGCTTCGCAAATTCGCTGTCCTCATCTTGTGGCCGCCAATCTTTTTCATTGTGGAGAATTCGACGTGCTATTATACCCCAGAAATTGTGCACTTGCATAAGGGATGCAAGTAGGGGCCGTGGCCGGAGTGATACTAGACTGGGATCGGCGATAGCTGGCGGTGTGCCCTCGAGAGCAGCCCGTTTCTCTGGTATTCTACCGGCCTCAAAGTCCGCTTCGTCACAGGGCAGCAAAGCAGTAATATCGCTGGGCCCCAGGGATACGGGTTTATATGGCCCGGAATGCAAGTTATCCTGACCTGGTGTTGAAAATTAGATGTGGCGCTCGATAAAATCAATATTTCTACTCACTATGTAGCATCCACTATTGACAAAGACAAGTTAGTAAATAATCATACTCAGCATCCTGGAACATGATGATAAAATTGATTTTAGAGGGAGAGTGGCGACTTCTGCTTTGCAGAGATTCCAATTGTCTACTTGTTCTACTTACAAATGTGCGCCTTGCCGCTTCTGCTCGTATCCTCTGTACAACATGGGATTTGTTGGTAATCGGACTGTAGGCTTCTTCACGATGCAGTCTCATGAGGGCGGCCATTCTGAATGCTATACCGGCGCTTATCTGTTTTCAAGGTAAGCAACAGCTTTTGAGAAGATTAATTTAGGCGGGACTTACATAGCTTGTGTTAGATTTGCCTGACCCTTGCTCAGCAATGCTAAGTAGATAGAACGCTTGGCACCTTTCCAACGTAGGCTCTAGATAGATTTCATTGATGGCAAGTCGCTGGGCCTTTTGCATGAATTCGTCGGCAGCTTTGAGCCCATCGCCATACGTTTCGATTAAATTTTTGTTGAACCTAGCACTGATACAGAGAATGCTAAGCAGTAGGAAAACGCTCACAGACTCGGTGTTTTCTCTTAGGCCAGCAATGAACATTTTCTTTGGGATAAAACCAATCTGGTAGAAATGACGAATGAATGTATGGATACCGTCGACTATAACTTCCATCTCCGGTAAAAGATCCCATTCATTCGCCAGCTTGGGCGGTCGAAAGTTAGATAATGCATCAAGACCTAAGCTCGGCGTCGTAGTGGGCTCTCTCTTGACCTTGATGAGGTCGAGCTTGTGTTTCCTGTCGGCGCGCTGCCGAGGGTGACGAAATGCGCGATCCTGATCCAAGTCTCCTCGGCTCGGGAACGAACTACGACAACACGGTTAGTGTTTCCGAACGACTTAAATGCCCGGCAGCGATGAGCACACGACAGAAATGATTACCATTCTTCTGGTACGCCAGCTTCTTTGCAGGCTTTACAAGGCGGTTGCTTCTCGTGCAAACACTTGCTACGCAGGCGGCGGCATCTACAACGAAGAGTCAATAAGTGAATACAAGGTATAAGTGTCTTGGAGATTTGATCTACGCAGCGGTAGATTCGACACAGTGAAGCCCATACCTTCGGCAGGCAATTGGCGCACGGCGCTTCACAGGCGGCGGCGGTGGCACGGTACTATTGACTGGGGTGCCGGACACGGTAGGCGACATAGACATGGACGAAGAAGAAGCAGCAGCATTTGGGGAGGCGGCGTTTTCAAAGCCCGGCGATGTGGTCATGATTTGCAGATCAAGACGGCAGCTGGACGGACAGCCGTCTTGTCTAGTAGTGCTAAGCGGATGGTCTCAATTGGCAGGTAAACTAAAGCTTGCGAAGCAGATAGACGGGAGGGGAAAGTCGTTATGGGAGACGGGATCGTTTCCACCACAATGGTTCGGGATGAATTAAGGTTGCCGTGAGAGAAGTGCAAGATGCCGCGAAGCTCCCGGCAGTGGCCCAGGCAGGGCAGGCAGCAGACGTTTATGCCCCCAGCAAGCCCAGCAAGCAAGCAAAGCAAGCGGGAACACAGCCCAGGACCAAGCGGCTTAGTCTGACTAAGACTAATTCGTCGAGCTCAGGTCTGAGAGACAGAAGCTGGACCAGACTGGGTCACCCTTGTTCTAATAATAATCTTCTGTATCGGTAGTGTGGAAATCAAGTAGCGGGGATTATGGTGCTGTGGAAAGGACTCTTGAAGGGTCTGCTCTCTTCGCGCCAGGTCCCGAGAGTAGGTAATGATACCTAGGCCCCGTGACCCGGGTCCAGTCCCGTGGTAAGCTGTAAGTAAGTAGGTGTAGGTATGTAAGTAGAGGGTGACTGGGATAAGGATCGAGAACCCAGATCCTGTTCGTGAGGTCGGTCGTCGTGTAAAAGCATGTACCTGCGTTCCCTACGTGCTTTCGTTGTATTTCTTTCTTTCTTTCTTTTCTTCGTCTTCCGTCTCTGATGCTTCTACCACTTTGTTCTCTCCTTATTGCCTCTGCCGTGATTCCAAAAATATTCAGAACGCTTGAGGAGCTGCCAACTTGGGGAAGCCTTAGCACTTAGTAATTTGTAGGCTGATATCCAAGTATTACTATTGTACCAGTCTGGATCTAGACGGTGCTGGACTAGTAGCTCAGCTAGGCGAAAACCAGACGGCACGGTGAGCGTGTCGCAGTATCGTACAGTAATAGTGCACAGTGCCTTGCGTATGGGCGGCATGGATCGACGAGGAGACTTACTTAATTAAACCATAGGGAGGGTATGTACACAGCCTAAGCCTACAAGCCTGGGTGTACTTGTGCGAGGCAGTGTCAAATGATTCAAGAGGGATATAAAGGATATAGGTGATGAAGTTATTCGCTCGACTAGACAAGCACGAAGCAAACACTTTGCAGTCGTCAGGCCATCGAGATGGAGCGAAATCAAGGGGGGGCCTGTACTCTGCAAGTACATAGTAGGCACGGCAAGATGTCAGAGAGTGGTCGCACTGGCTACAACACCCAGAAGGTTACCTAGGTAGGTAGGTAGGTAGATTCTACGCTCTCGCTAGATCGTGGGTAGTGGGGATGGTCGTAATGGATAGTACTGATGTTCGAGCTCTGGTTCTGCTCTGGTTCTGCTCTGGTATTCAATCATCAACTTGATCTACACTGGTATCATCTGCCTGGATGGAGACAGCGAGGGATGAGGGTGATCAGCGCTAGGATGATTACCTGATACCTCTAAAAAGTACTCATTTGTGCACCAAATGCGATAGGCCAGGTACGATCCCCTCTGTATGACACTAAGTAAAGTACGCGTTAACCTAGACCTGTCAGAGATTAACGGTCACGGATTCTCGGGAACGAGATTCTAGTCTTGTGTTCTCTGCCTCTGGACCGCTAAAAGTTCGGTAGGCAGGTACGTACATGTAGGTACCGTTGGGGGCATTGCAGCTGTTGATTTCTCCAACATGAGCCCAGATTGTTCGACATGTACGTAGGTAGTATATGCGCGGTAGGTATAGTGTCGAACGAGGCAGAGGCGGCTCTGTTCTGTGTGTATGCGTAGGTATTAGAAATGCATGTTCTCCCTCTCTCTTCATCTCTCAATCCTCGTCTTATTATGGGGTCGAACTTGAGAAGAAGAAAAAACGCCCAGCTACGTACGCACTACACTTGTTGGCGGCTTACTATCCAGCGCACCACAAGTTCGAGGCTGTGAACGATTACCTGTTACTATATGTATACAAAGTAATCAAATTCTGCGTAGTGGAATGGTAGGTATTGCATCTCCAGGTGTAATTAATGTAAGAACATCGCAGGCGCAATAGGTACTAGGTATGTACTGTAGGGTCCAGCACTACGAAACTGCCATGATCCCTGGCCGATGTATGCACAATGTCTTTGTTCCTTGTTCACTTCCCATTTGAAAACGGCACATTCGCCCTACCTACAGACAACAGAAGACGACCGAAGGATTTACTATAGAAAGTAGAGTAAGTCGAGGCGAACGGGTCTGTCTCAAATCGCATGATATCGGGCAATCTAGGTAAGTACGGTAGGTAGATATGCTGCACCGGCTCTCACTCTCTCAACTGTGCCTTACTTACACCTCCCTCCATCGCATCTCACCGAATAAGATGCAAACACGGACGGCCGCCATCGTCTTACACACAACCTACATACCTCCCTTACTTTCCGCCCTCATACATAATCAATCCTAATCATGTAGGTTTCGTTCAATTAGGTAAAACGCGGCAGGTACGGCTCCTACACTTCATATACCTACTTACTTACTCAGGCCTCTCTAAACATCTGCATGGGATTTTTTGGGGGGGCCGGATAGGAAAGCAAACCTGGTTGTTCTCGATTGCCGCCAGACTGAACTGCGGCAACGGGCGCAGGACAGGACAGGCAGGCAGGCAAAAAGCTGCTGCTACCTATTCTTGCAGCAACATCGCGTCGCGTTGCGTTGCGTTGCATTGCATTGCCTGCCCGGAACCGAAATAGGGCCAACCCCCAATTTCCTTGTTGCCGTCGGCATCGATCCCATGGACTAGACCAGATGGCCGACCAACCAATACCTATGTTTCTAGTACTCGTGAAGACAAATCTAGCGTCTTTCGTTGCCCGTCGCCTAACCCCCGAATCTAATCCCTCTCTTTCACCGGCACGTGGGGAGCCAGTCAACCTTCGAATTCGTACTAGGTATGTTAGATCTAGGTAGACATCTCCGCTCAATTCTCCTTACACATGTAATCTATTAAAGCGTATCAATTAGGTACCTATCCCATATCGCACAGCATTGTCTTAAAACCTCCTAACCGAGTACACTACACTACCCACCCATCTATCTAGGTAATACAACCAACCCTGAGATGGCATCAACGTTACTACCCGCATACCGAATGATATGATAACCCTACATACATATACATACAGTACAGTTCGGCATATCAGATTAGCAGGGTATATAATATAGTATACCTACATAGGTAGATAGGTATATAGGTCTCTACTCACTCTGCATTCCTTCCAATACCAACATACCTAGTTTCATAAGCATGTCCAGTAGATACCTATATTATATACCTAGACCATACATAATACAAGGTTCCGTCACATGTTTTCCCACGTCCTCTATCCCCCGGCTTGGCTAATCTTTTTCTTTTCCGCGCCCCGGCTCACCGAACATACTTTCAAGCAAACCCCTCAAAGACAATGAGACACGGGGCGAAAAGCGATGTTACAAGCCTGCAAAGGCAAGGCTATTAATACAGGGGAGGTAGGTATACTACACGCTGCTATCGTGCACACACATATGACATCAATCATGACTCCCGTCATATCTCATCAAGGTCATACAAATCGTCACCTAGCAAACAAGGGCACAAAACCGCATATCATGTATCACCCCGATCAGGTGCCATATATCATTATCTACTAAATACAGGGCAAACAACACCTAGAAAAAGTGATGGAAGTGCTTGCCACAATTATGCATTCCGCTTCCCATGATGAAAGCCATTGATTGGTTGGGGCCGTCTCCAGGAACCCGGCGTGAGCCGAGTCCGCCATGCAAAAAAAAAATTCATCACCAACCGACCAAAAACCGCCAACTCCAAAATGCACTCATTCCAAAATGAATCCAAAGCCCCTCTTACTAATCCGGTACCAGATTTATCTGTGCCACGATAAGGTGGCGTACATCTTTATCACCCACTCTGAAAGAGGGGACCCCGGTTTCCCTGAAAACCAAAAAAAAAAAAAAAGCGCCGTTTCTCCCAATGATGCTCCGATGCTTGGTAACGATAGAACATAAAAACTCGGCGCCCTATCGGGGGTCTTCGTATCTTTTCGTGATGACTAGTATTATACACAAGGACCATATCATAGGCCCCAGGAATTAAGTATATCCGTGGAAATGACATCTAGTAAATATATGCTGTATGGATGTAAATAGAAACTGGTGTTTGACTGGCCGTAAATTCCTACGCCGGGGTTTCATCCTCCTGCGCATGGGGGATCTGGAGCGATAGTCGCTGGCCACGATCTTTTCCCGGCTGTGTCACTGCATCTCCCAGGGTATTGCTGGCCTCTGTGGAATTAGCTTCGGGCTGGTGACTATCGTCATGGGATGGAATATCTTCAGAGTTGGAACGGGGGGCTGGCGTCGTCTCTTCTCTCGACGGCTCATCCAAAGTCAGTGTTACGCCGGACGAGCTAGATAGTTTGGATGTTCTAGACTCTCTCGCTATGTCGGTTTCCGTGGACGCCTGTGTTGTTTCGTGACTGGTACTTGTCGTCTTCTCCGCGGTCGCAACAGTATGTGGATGGGTACTGTGAGCCGGCACCACACCGCCACCAATACGACTCCAGAACATTTGGTCCCGGAGCCTCACACTTTCTTCCCAGGCGGCTCGCTCGGAATCGACATTGTCAGCGCGCCAGTGGCCGTCCTTGACCATGCGAAGGAACCCCAGAAAATCACAAGTAGAACGAACACGGGCAAGACAATACTGGCAAAGCGGGTATCGCTGAGCTGAGTCCGATTCGCTCGTTCTAAACCGGTGATATCGCAGGTGTGCTTCATCTTTTCGCGCTTCGCCACACAATGAACATGAATAATACTGCGGTTTACTGATTGACATGAAAGGACCAGTAGTAGGTATCGGCTCCACGACCAGAGTCCCCTCCGTCATAGAGCTGAGTACAGATCGTCGAGCTAGCCAGGACAAACCTGGAGCTATATCTAGACGAAGAGTGGGTTCGATATCCTCGGCCAGGGCCCGTTTGTAGAACTTTGTTTCTTTCAAGGGGGGCAGAGGTGTTGAAGAGACCGCAGAGCCAGTGCTAGCAGCCGAAGCCGGTGTATTAGGTGTCTGAGGGGATACATTTGCAGATATAGGCGTTCCAGAAGTAGACAATGATGCTGAGGACACATTGGGCGAAGCTGACATGGTACTGTTTCCGCTAAAACTAAGTATAGGGAGACCAGTGAACGAGCCCGAAGAGACGCGAGCAGAGTTTCTCTTCGAGATCTTGATAAGAGCGAGGAAGTCCTCGTAAGCAGTTAAGTCAGTGCGTAGAACTGGGTGAATGAGATGCTGTAAGTTGGTCGGATATGTTGGCACAAAGGATTCTGAAACGCTAGATTGTGAGACCCCTTCGGATACCTGGGTCTCGTCATCCCTCGGATCAAACTTGCTAAATCCTGGTGACGATGGTGTGGTTCCGCTGTGATCATCCTGGTCAGCTGCCATCTGCTCCATGACGAGCTTGAGCTGCGCAAGTTGTTCCTGTTGCGACTTGAGGAGAATCTCCGTATCGGTTAATTGCGCCTTGAGCTGTTCATTTTTCCGAAGGAGAACGTCTTGTTCTTTCTTTGCGTCCTCTTTCGCTGTTATCACCATCTTGTTAGCCTCTTCGAAAAGTGATACGGTCAAGGTCTCCAGTTCTTGTTCAATCTTTTTCTTTTCTTTCTCCATATCCATGCGTTGCTTCTTCTCTTCGGCGACTTGCGCTAGTAGGTTGCTCCTTTCAGCTTCAACAGCTCTCCGCGGAATCCAAGCATCTCCGGACAGCATTTCTTTCTGCTTCGTCACAAGAGCCTCCAACTCGTGTATTCGCTCCCTTGAAGTATCGAGTTCCTGGCGCGTGGCCGAAAGCGTATCATCGAGAGTTGTTTGATGGTTTATCGCATTGATAAGTTTGGTACTTAGAGTAGCAACTTCTTGATCTAGATCAGGATGGTGCACAGGGCTTGCAGCACCATCTGCAGGCGACATGGCCCTTGCCCTTGGATCAGGAAGTGTGTTATGGTCCGCATCATCCATGAGAGACTGGGAAGATACCATTCGTTTCAGTTGAGTTGGAACGGGGGGTGAGGAGTCATCGGACACCATTAGTTCGAAGACATTGGAAGAGGAAAGAGATTTAGTTGGCGATCGAGATCGTGGAGAAGCATTGGACGAGGGACTCATGCTTGAGAGTGATCGGAAATGGCCTAGGGAGGCTCGTTGACGAGAGGGGCCTGCGAGTTGGTGCTGCGGCCAAGCAGCAATATGGGTGAAACTGAGCATCATTATATTAGCCTGCAACTCTCCACGCTTATGAGAATTCGGGTTCGCAAGTCTAGTACGGCTGTCTGCCGTCATGATGTGACGATGTACACACACGAGGATGCCAGTTGCCGACAAGACTAGGTGTAATATGCAGGGTGTAAAAGATCAATCACACTCACGAGTCCAGCTTGACGACTGGTGGACCGTTCAGGTCCGAGAAGCCCAATAACCCGTTATTATGCGTAACCGAGAATAATGGGCATTAGAGAGAGATGTGCGAGCTCCTGCTTGATCAAGAAGTCTGGTGAGCGGGTTGGCTATGCGGGAAAGCAATAATGTCTGGCAAAATCCCGAATGCGTCGCTGTGTTGGCAGTATCGGAAGCTGTTATTGAGATTGGTGCACAATGGCGTAACCTTTGCTCGTCTTGGGAGGTCGCGACCAGTACCTAGGCGCATGCACCCATCGAGTTATAAAAGGGTCCTGGGCCTGATGGGCGTGGCGTTTGGTGGCTTGGGGTTTGGTCAATTGTATCACACCGGTCTCTACCACGCTAAGTAGGGCCGTCATGTACGTTTGGGGAGCTCGCGCAGGCCGTTAAGAAAGCGTGGACATAACAGTAGGTAGGTAGTTAAGTGTGGACAGGCCTCGGCGTGGTGACGATATACTGCCTATAGTCGTTTGTATAGGTAGTCGTTTGGCGACTTGGGAGTAGAGATGATGAGGAACCAGCCAGGGTGGATTAGACAGGTCGAGGCGAGAGTAAGAGGAGGAGCTTCCTTGCCGCGCTGGACTGGGTGGAGTCTCGCGGCCGCCCAATGATGGCAAGTCTGGGCTTGGGCTTTTGGTCTGGGCACAGCGAAGGATGATGAGTTGGACAAGGGGCACCAGTCGCCAGCCTGCTTTCCCCAAGCTGAGAGAAGTAAAGTAGGTAAACCTAGGTACCGAGTTGTACTCTAACTTCAAATGTGACTACCTGTGTGCATATGTACTATTAGGTTACTTCTCTAGTAGTGTACGTTAGGAAAAGTAAGTAAAAGGTACGTATCATGCGAGGGCATCGCATGTAGCGATACCTACCTATCCTCCACTGCAAATCCCCGATCGTACCTTGGAAATCTGTGATAGTTTGCAATGGCTTAGGCAAAGAAGAAGCGCCTACATGTACATGTACAGTAGCAATGTGCGTAGGAAAATACGCGCTGCGCTAGTGCAGGGAGTGGGCTCGAGACCCCAGAGCTGTGTATATGTACAATTACATACCTGTTTAGGCAGTTGGTACATGGAGAACGGCACGATGCCTAGGTATTGTACACGGGAAAGCTACCTGGGTAGTCGATTGTTATCTCAAACCCTTTTCAACATAGTGAATTGTTAGATTGCAATCTCTATAGGTAAGTGATCAGAGGTGCGAGTTTAATCTAGCTTAAGGGGCTACAGACAGTACCAACCCTCTGCAACCTTCCTTGTGATGTCAAAATCCGATATTTGCAGTAACCATGTATTATTCACCCTTCTCACGATGTTCAACTCTAAAGGGTATAGAGATCGGCTTGCCGCTACGACACATGTACTATGCGGTCATATTCAAGATACCTCGAAGAAGGTGGGAATATCCGCGGACCTGCACTTGAATACCTATACCTACGTAATTCCATTTTCACACACCTTCACTCCGCTCAAGCCACATGTCGTCATATCAGCCAAGTGTCTCTCACAACATCACTGGAGCATTTCGCTTGCAAAACATCAGTACCAAATCCTCTTCTAAAAGAGACAAGCAAGCCAACGAAATACCCTTCTATCTTTTTCCAGCCTTAAGCTGTACTAAATATAACTCTTTCGGCGCGAAGCAAAACTTTTTCAATATACGTGCAATATACCCTTATACGACTGCCTTCCTATCATTATAGCTTACTGAGAGGCAGACCAGAGGCAGACCAAAAAGGTAGGCTAAGGTACTAAAGTGACTCCTAAAGAGCTTAGCATTCAACCATTGCCCAGAAAGCGCCCTCAGCCCCTTGTCGATCGCTTAACCTGTCTTAGTGTAAACCACCTGTACCTGGCAGATCCTGGCTTCTGTCCAGTACCTACTTTACATACTTACAGTAGTGTCTTATGACTGTCGCCAGAGTCTGGACAGAACTGGACTCTGTCCAGATTTCCAACCGCTCCAAGCCCAGGGCATCTGCCCGAAATCTTCGTAACAGTCGCACGTCGAGTACCCCTTCCGCCCCTCCTCTTCCACTGTGATGTCTTTGTCGCATCACGAGAGAGGCAGAAAGAGACTTTCTCGTTAGTTATATGTAGAACCATGTCTATATATTGACAGGAGTCCCGTTGAGTTCGCGCTAGGTTGCATATTTCGTGCTCGTATTGCGTTGATGAGATCACTTCACAAATTACTACTACTTGTACCTGTACAGCACTAGGTTAGTTTGATGTTGGTCATGTTCACAAGTGGAGCGCCCGTAGTGTACCAGTACCTCGTTTAAGCGTCAAGGTACGGTATCTGGGGCTCGAACTCCTTGTTGCTGACTGGGATAAACGACCGAGACTTGCTCCTTTGCACAAGGGTCGTCACAGTCAGATTTTGATATCCCCATCTGCTTGATCGTGCGCCTTTATCTCGCAATACCTAATCTGCTTTCAGTCGCATAGTATTATTTTCAAGTCCAAAATTTTTGTACTCAACAATGAGAAGATGTGAGGTTTGGAGCGTTGAGATTATGCGTCCCTCGCAGAAATACCATCTTTCTATTTCCGTTATGCCCGGTCTCATGATGAAATGGAGGCTTACTATATATGTATGACTTGCATGTTTATAGTCGGACCCCGAGCTTACATTACATTTGTCTGGAGTCCCTATAAACCAACCATATCAGTCGGTTGTTCGGTTCGTCAATCGCTTGACAGCAACTACCTACGTCACTGCATCGACCACGGACAGTTGCTGTAACATGCGAACCAAGCACTGTTGTGATATACGTTTCAGAAAGTCCTATTTATATCACTTTTCACTGATATGTCTAGTCGTCACAAAACAACTCCCATGACACTTTCAAAGCGTTTCTCAGCTGCCACGTCTTGGCGTCTGATGAGCCACTCTGCGGCCTGCTTCAAGCAGTTCCCCTGGACTACTGTATGAATGAGAACAGTAGCACTTTAGATACTTCTGTAAGTTACGGCCTTCCCAAACCGTACACATGTCAAGGATAAAGTGCACCTAAATATACGATTAACCATCGTTGCCTGTACTAGCGAATCTCCGTGTACCTTATTGTGCTCTACACCTTTTGCATTTGAAGGATTGGAGGTTTAGGAAATATCAGAGGGCACTCGCTGTAAACTAGATATATTTCAAGGCGGACATCATCGTTGGACAACCAGGTCACCTTAAAGTGAATAAATGATCTGCGATATCCGAATTGATGGCCCTGGCTTTCCGCACCACCGCTCATTTAAATCTGTATAATCGTAACGTAAAGGGGTTGAGGTCAATCGCCCAGATGTATCGAAGCCTTGCTATACTACAACATTTTCTGCTTACTCCTTTCAGGTTATGAATAGCAGATAGATCAATTGCAACACAAAATACGTAGTAGAACGAAAATAAAGATGTATCAACCCTTCGAACCATCCTATCAGGCTGCGAGAAATCTAGGACAGTAGATACGGGACGACAAATTTTGTCTGCCGCTCGGCAGAACGAGAAACCTACTGAAAGGTAACTCAATTACCAGCACTACTGTAGAAATTTTAGACAGCAAAGTGCCAGCGTTGGCAAGCGGTAAGATTTTGAAAGAGGGAAATTAGACTCGGGCAAACCCTCACCAGATATATTTCAATGGCGGGACGGGATGACCCACTGGCCTGGTCTGTGCACTCTGTCCAATCAGCCGCAGATTAGCCGATCGGAATGCTGAGGCTCCTACACGTCTAACCCGGTTTTACTTCGGCCCGCGGCAGCCTCCACTTGAGCTCCATTCCTTCATCATCAAATTTCCGCTGCCTGGCTAAGAATTCTTCATCTTCTCGGTTTCTTTCCATGATGGAATCTCTCAGTGAAGAGACATGGGATACTGTCATCTGCGGCACAGGTCTGTCGCAATCCCTTCTTGCTCTGTAGGTTCTTTTCCCTGCTCTACCACCTCACCTCATCGAAGCTGTCGATCTGACTGACCTAGCATGCTCCCTCGATGAAGCGCCCTCTCGCGGTCCAAGAAGCGGATTCTTCACCTCGATGCCAACGACTTCTATGGCGAGAATGAAGCAGCGTTAAGCTTGCAGGAGGCTGACTCCTGGGCTCACGATCATGCTGAAAGCCAGCCTAGCAATACGCTTGCACTCTCAGAGAATGACGCTGGCGAAACCGTTGCTGAGAGAGTTGACGAGGGGAAGCAAGCGACACCCCCCACCTCATCCGGAATACGGTCATCGATCTTCCGAAATGTACAGGTGTGGAGGCATCCAGATGCCGATGGTCGAGGGCTGTCTTTCCCCAGGGCATACTCCCTCGCCTTGGCTCCACAAATCATACATTCCAAATCGAAACTTCTCTCACAACTTGTCTCATCAAAGGCATACAAACAAGTTGAGTTTCTAGCTGTAGGCTCCTTCTTCGTCTACGGTGACGCGGATGCCGCCTCTAGTACAACGCTGGCCCGTATACCTAGTAGCCGCGAAGACGTCTTTTCTGCACGGTCAATTCCGGCAAGGTCAAAGCGAGCATTAATGAAGTTTCTGAAGTTTGTGATTGATTACGAGTCAGATGAGCAGAAGCCTATTTGGCAACCCCAAGCTGATAAGCCACTCTCTGAATTTCTTGCTGAGGATTTCAAGCTCGACAAAAACCTTCGCGACTCTATTCTTGCAATGACTCTAACCTTGGATGGCCATATTACCGTAAAGGATGGATTGGCCACAATTCACCGACATCTGACGTCTATAGGACTCTTCGGACCTGGTTTCTGCGCCGTGTATCCCAAGTGGGGCGGGATATCAGAAATTGCTCAGGTAGGATGTCGCGCTGGAGCAGTTGGAGGTAGCACGTACATGCTCAACACTGCTGCGTCGATGGGCGAGCCTAATGGCAGTGGTGAAATCACTCTCACGTTGGCGAACGAAGTCTCAATCCGGACGACCGCCTTTATCACTTCACAGCAAAATTGCTCAGCTACCTCGTATACCGTCTCAAGACTTGTGGCTGTCATTAACGCAACTTTTCAGTCGTTATTTGAAACGTCAACGGAAGGTGCGCCAACTCCCGCTGTTGTCGTCGTCGCCTTTCCTTCAGGGTCTCTACTAGATGACGTACAAGCTGAGTCGACTGTTCCAATCTATGCATTTGTACACTCCAGTGATACTGGAGAATGTCCTGCAGGTCAAAGTGAGTCCCAACATTTCCCTTTTTAAGACTTTTCAACCTTGGTGTTATGATGATCCAAAATTCGAATACTTATCTACATTGTCTGAGCTTTGCCTTGACGACAATCTAACCTCTGACAACCTGATCGCACCATCATTTTATCCTTACTTTTCGGTCACCAATGCCCTACAAAATATGCTAATTGGCCGCCGTTATTAGGTGTCATATATTTGACTATGCAAACAACGCCGCAATCTTCGCATCTTCTTGATGCAGCCTTAACTGCTCTGCTGCAGAATGAAACGACCACAGCAGATGTTCTATACAAGCTATACTATGAACAAGCGGCCACTTCCCGCCAACCGTTGGCCACTCCGCAAGGCAGTGCTACTGTGTTTGAGTTCCCATCTCCCTCACTTAGCCTGGCTTTTGATGATGGGAGCCTAGATGCTGTTCAGGAAGCCTGGAAACTCATAATGAAGGATGAAGGTATAGATGATGCATTCATGCAATTCGAGGATCGCGAAGGTGTGGATGATGACGACGATGTTTACGATTAAGGTAGTCGTCGATCACATTATTTATTCTATCATACCTTAGCGATAGTGATTCAATCTGTAGAGACAGTAAATACAATACCTACCATTTCGCTTATAGCTTTTTTTGATTAATGACTTCATAACTTGTCTCCATAAGTGTCATCATGTCTTTCAACTTATAGTCAAATTCTGTTATGTCCTAGCTATGTGTTATCATGAACAGATCTGCGATGTCATCTGTTGAACCCATAATCAGGTAGCTAGTTTAATAAAGCCCGAAAATATCGCGAGTGAACCTTGAACACCTAACTTTCACCCAACATGTATGTACCCTGGAGGTTTAAAGATGCGGTTCACGATCTAGCTTTCGTTTCCCCCAAGTCTCGTTTCGTTTTTGGCCCATGACTACGATAGCAAAAGTTCCAATGGAAAATGCAAATGTGGGTGGGGGGGTCAACCTGCTTGCTCGACCCAGGGCTTAGAAATTCCTCAAAAAACCTGCAGCAGCGACTGTCTTCATCCCTATCCAGATAGCCCCGAACGGTATGTGGTCAGCGTCGTATTGTTCAACGTACATTCTACCCTTGGTCACAAGGCAGAGCGTGTGGTAAAAGGCCTGTGCAGCCACGAATCGTGGCGTATCTCTTGGTATGAACATGTCATCGAAAGCAAGCCACTTACGGTTTATGTCGAAATCTTCGTCCTGTCGGCGCTCGCCATTTTGATCGATAGTGTTTTGGACGAAATTGAAGAAATTATATCCCTCTCTGTCAAGGTGTGCTAAGAGGTCGTCATTCTCCGCCTGTACCTCTGTAGCGGTAAACTGCCCGTTGAGTTTCGGGGGGCCCTCAAAGTCAAAGTCAGGTATTCCCTCGAAAGAATATGCCGATCCAAAGTCGCCACCAAAATTTCCATCGCTTCCAAACCCACCCATGAGCACATCATCGCTGTAACGTGCGATATCTTCGGGGTTGTCGCGCCTACCCAGAGGGCTAGAGAGGTCGCGACCCTTGTGAGCCGAAGCAGGGGCGCGGACGGATGAGCCAGGAATTGCCGAAGAGCCACGATTCCAAGGCAAAAGCGTAGAAGATAGATGATCCGACATGGCGCGCTCTTCTTCTCTGCCAACTTCTGGGAGTGCTTCATCAGCGAAGGGATCATCGAAATTGTAAAGTTCATCCTCTTGAGCAGCTCTGGCCTGTTCCTGTTCCTCACCATCCTCTATCAGTCTTCGTCTAACCCGTCGTTCTTCCTCTTGCTCCTTTTCCTCAACTGCCTGCGATGCAGTGCGACGCCTACCACGTGGCTTCATGATCTCAAGGCCCGTGATAGTCGTGAATAGCTTATCCCCAGAAAATTCAACAGCTAAAGGGTGAATATACCCCGGCACACCAATGTGCTGGCCGATGTTACCAATTCCAAGCCCGAACGTAAGAATCATCGCATTTCTTTTGGCTTGGGCTGCCGGGATGGAATGAGTAAGTTTGGGACCGCAGTTTTCTACGTAGTGCGACTGCCAGTTGCGAAGCGTTCTTCGGGAAATTTGCGTCTCATCATCAATCCGTAACCTTCTCTGTTTACGAGCTGACACCTGCCGGGCAGATTTGTTGTCATTCCGCCATGGTATATGCTCTTGCCGTTCGGGAAAGGGTTCTGCTTCTGGAAGCGGCTCTTCCTGCATAATTACATCCCCGTCATCAAATAGATGTACTTCATCGAGCTTTGCAGCAACGTTAAGCACATCACTTTGACCTTGGATGGGTGGCAAGTGAGGAAGTTGTGGCTCCTCATCTACCATGACAGGCCCTGCTGATTCGACGATATTTCCATGCTCGTCAACTTCAATACCCCAATCGCCGTGTGTACTAAACATATCGTTGTCATTTTGAGGCAATAAAAGTGGCTCATCGTCTGGTTTTTGCATCGAAGATAGGCTGCCGAGCCCAAGGGGAGATCTGTGATAGTCCAGTGAACTCGAATGATCGATATCAAGCTGGATCATGAAGCCCTGCCCTGGGCTTTGAGAGCCCGAAAGCTGAGAACTCTTGGGGGACATCTGAGACGACGTCTTTTGGGTGCTGAAATGGCTGATAAGCACAGTCTCTGGGTTGAACTGCGGTAGCGGCATGTTGGGATCAAACGCGCGATCGTCTTCAACCAAGTTGTCTTCTGGTCTTCTAAATATCAGCTTGGCCCCGTCAATATAAGGAGCTGCCTACCTAGCTCTTCCTGCTTCAGGGTCTAGCTGATTGTTGGGAAATGCTTTGAAGAAGAACCTCATCTGATCTTGGACCTTCTTGGCATCTGCAGCTAAGTAGGCGCACTGCTGGCTGTGCACGCGCGAAACACCATACAAAAGGTTACCTTGGAGGCGCAACGCAATGGGTGCTCCTGGCTCGAGTATTTTCTCGCATGCTCTTTGTACATCGACCTCTTGTATGGCCTTGCGAGTTACTTTTCTTGTACCCGACGTGTTGCTGGTGGTGGCAACAAGCCTGTGGCATATCAGCAACAAAACTCGCACTTAACGCCAATGTGAAAGCTGGCAGGCTCTGAGCAACTTGCCAGATGGTAGCAACGCCGTATTGGCGACTAGTTAGGACTTCACATATCAGTTAGTAGCTAAAGGTTCAGCCGTGTCAAGGCTTCGGCAGCGCTTACTTTCGTGACTGTAAAACATGATGGAATTTGGGCATCGGGTTGGTGATGTAAGTCATGAATACTGTAAGAATGTTGTTTGTAATTGGACCGTTAAACCTCAGATTACGCCATACGTAGGAGATAAATATATACGGGAAATGGAGTTCGCAAGGTAGGTCGCCGGTGTGAGTGTAGCTGTGGGTTGGTGAAGATGATTAAATTCAAGAGAGACATACCTAAGTACCTACCTACCTAGTAGCTACCTAAGTGATTTATTTTCTACCTCCTGCCTACTTATCCGGGTTGATTGAACGTGAAGTGCCTGCCTAACCTACATCTAAGATGCTGCTACCCGAGTACCTGCCGATACATATGGATGGGTGTAATTACCTGCATAGTATTCACCTAGGCAGGTATATGGCATGTATCTATCTGGTTGAATAGTACCTAATCGAGCAAGAGCAATCAAGCAGGAGCCGTGGCTTCCACGGAGAACTTGAAGGGACATGTGAAGGAAGGTGCGCGAAACCGACGCGGTTTAGAAGCCGTGATGGTCATTGGTGCAAATCACTCAGCCTCTTCAGAACATGCCGGGCGATTTGTGATAGGTAATAATTGGCATCCTAGCATTCTCCATCAGTTAATGCCACCTCGATACTATTCACTTTCTTCCTTAGTTAATTATCTCGCACGCATGCTGGGGTATGTAGGTACCTCTAGATTGGCTATGTACATACTCACGTGTTAGCGACTGATCTCTTCCTTTGGATGTTTGGCCGCCTTCGAATCTCAACTTATGTAGGTAGTTGAGAGCAACGGATCGTTTTCCATGGCGTCTACGACTCGCAGGGCTCGTGCCCAGTGTGTAATACAGCTTGGATCTTACCTATCTATAGAAAGGATGTCGCTCGCAGTTGGATTGGGTAGAATACAATGTACCCGGCTAAAAAAAATTGTTCAAGAATAAACGATTAGGTTGAGCATAGATTGGCATTCAGAACGTCTTTCTACGCAATAGCTGATTACCTAAGTGTCATGCCGGCAGTGTCGAAGCTACCTGCTCAAGTCTATGGACGAGCCAATCATCGGTGCCGGATCTGACACAAGAGACACTGCCGCATGCCAGATCCCCTAGATAGATCTCTGCGATCTATCTGTCCCATTTTCCCACCCGACCCGAAAACAGTATTATTCATCTCGATAACTGAGATCCAATATCCCCTCTCTCTTTTCCTTCATCTCTCATTTGAATACCTTTGTAGTCTCATAGTATGGGACGCCGTCTTCTTTTTGTCCATCGTCCTCTTAAGAAGGCGACCGCTTGATCATATTGCTAGTATTCCTCTGCTCTACCTCGTAGCTAGCAAACGGCCCACTTAGCTATACAGGCGCCAAGGAAGCCTCGCAAAGATCAAAACCTTCAAGTTCTTGAACCCGCATACAGTCTCTACTATAATTTTCACTCCCTGCGCGTTTCACTCATCTCATCGCCACCATGGACCCTCTCCTGACCGCTGAGTTGGCCAGGTGCGATGACGGCGTCCCCTTCAACCCCAAGTTGCACCATGCTCACAGCACATGGGCTAAGACATTCCTATCCCGGCCGGATCTCTACTTTCAGCCTGAGTCCCTAGAAGAGATAGAGAAAATTGTGAAGTTGGCCCATAGATGCCACCGTCGCATCACGACTACTGGCTCTGGTCATTCTCCTAGCTCCTTGACTTGTACCTCATCTTGGCTTGTGAACCTCGACAAGTATAACCGCATTCTATCCCTCGACGAGAGCACCGGCGTCGTAGTTATGCAAGCAGGGATTCGTCTTTACCAACTTTGCGATGAACTAGCAAAGTACGGCCTTGCCATGCCTAACCTTGGAAGCATTAATGAACAATCCATCGCTGGCGCCATATCTACCGGCACTCACGGCTCTAGTCTCCGTCACGGTACCATGTCAACAAGGATTCTGTCATTGCGAATCACTACTGCCGATGGAGTTTCACGGTTCTGTTCCCCTGACGAGGACCCTGATCTCTTTCGTGCCGCTGTACTGTCTCTCGGCGCATTAGGGATTATCACTGAAATTACTTTTCAAGCTGTCCCCGAATTCACCCTGAAGTGGCAGCAAGTTATTGATGATGATACCAAAATGATGAATTCCTGGAATGAGGACCTCTGGACTCAGACCGAATTCGTTCGTGTCTGGTGGTACCCTTACACACGAAGAGCAGTCATTTGGTCTGCGGAGAAGACCTCTGAACAACCTGTCGACCCCCCGAGCTCTTACTACGGTGGTGCGCTTGGCTATTATGTTTATCATAACCTACTCTATGCTGCCCAGTATATTCCCCGCATTCTTCCGTGGGTCGAGTGGTTTGTATTCGGCATGGAGTATGGTTTTGCAAACGGCTCAAAGTCCCAAGCGATCCAACCCAGCCGCCAGGCGTTACTTATGAATTGTCTGTATTCCCAGTTCGTGAATGAGTGGGCAATTCCCCTCCACAAAGGCCCCGAAGCTCTGCGGAGACTTAGTAGTTGGTTGAATCAACTGCCACCAACCGACCCGGACTACGTGCCACACAACATACCATTTTCCGCCAAGGACTTGTGGGTGCATGCCCCAGTCGAGGTACGAGTTTCGGATAACTCTTCAGTCCCTCTAAATAACCGGCCTCTTCTCGATCAGACGGTTGAAGATGGTCCGACCCTATACCTCAACGCGACACTCTACCGACCTTACCATCACGACCCACCATGTCATGCTCGTTATTATGAGGCATTCGAGTGGCTAATGCGAGATTTGGGTGGACGTCCTCACTGGGCAAAGAATTTCCAGACAACGGGCGAGGACCTCGAGAATATGTACGGTGACAAAATCCAACAATGGCGAAAAGTTCGGGAGAGAGCTGACCCTAATGGTGTATTTGTTGGGCCTTGGCACCGTCAGAATGTCCTAGGAAGTGGAAACACACTCTTACATGAGGAGGTTGACAGTGGCTCAGTAAAAGTATCTGATAAGATAGTGCTCTTTAGCGGCACTGTTTCAACGGAAAACAATGTTTTGAGGAAATAGTAGGCTCAAGCTTTATAAACGTGGCAGGCAAGCTAGATTTTCACATCTAATATTGTACACGTCTTCTTCTTCATTCCTAAGTCTGATATGGTTGTAAAGACTGAATGTCAGTGAAACAGTACTCTTTGCCCATTATTAGAGCTAGAAGGTCTGGTCATGAAATAGCCGAAACTCAGCCAACTACACAAGGGGTCTCTGTACTGGGCAAGGTGCACAGAGTGAGTTCACGTATGAGGGCATCTCTAGGACAACAACGCAAACAACATAATTTCACTTTGTGTACTCACCTTGGTCTTATTCGCTACATACTTAGGTACCTTAGCTGTCCACAGCTTGTTTTCGCATTCTCTCAAACTTTACACACAAACCCCGCAATATGAAATCTTCCAACGTCAACATCTTCCCCAATAGTGAGGCCAGAACCAAGAAAAAGTCCACTCTGTTCCTTTCCGCTGTAGAGTTTTCTATATCACCAGCAGATACATTGGTAGTGAATAGAGTAACAGGTATTTATATTTTCAATTCGCCCCTGGGGCTTGAATCGTACTTCGGTACCAAGTTCATGTGCTTACCCTCTTGTACAGTCCTTGAACTTCCATTCACTGACTTGTGCCCTGTACAAAGAGATGAATAACCGAACACTACTTCGACGACCTTCATGGCTTCCTTGTCCAACCGACAACACCTATTATATTGGTGCTTCTGAAGTCACGGACGAAGCTTGGGACGATATCTTTGAAGCCCTATCCGAGTACCCGGAACTTAACACTGAACATTACCAGATTGGCAACCCTTCCACAGAAAGTTACATCGCTGACAGACTTGGATGCCTTTTACCCAAGGAAGATTATCAGTACAGCTGTGAACAAGTCTCGATTTGGAAATCTCTAATGGCTAGTCCCATGACTGTGCCCAACGAGGATTTGCAAAAGATCATTCCTTTGGGAAAGGTTGACTTATCAACTCTACCCAACTATGAACGTCGCTTTTTCGTGTCTACTTGGACAATGTCTGTTTCCCAGTATCACATCCTCGCCGACCACTTAAAGAGTGAGGAAAGAACTTTCGAAGAATTAGATGTCTGGGGTACATTCATTGAAGACGAGGAGCTTGAGCCTACTGCTACAATATTCATTCGCTACATAGGATTTTGCGGCACCCTTGAAGCGCCAATTGAGCCCATGGCGGATATCTATCACCAAACAGAAGATGTCAGATCCGGAATCCTAGCTGATTTTCTGAAGGCCCTTCTTGCCGTTCTCCCAGCTGTCGCAGCAAAGCGTGAATGCCACGTGATCCGACACGAATTAGCCACATGGTACTGGGATGAAGAAGATGGTAAAAGGTTCCCCGAGTTGGCGCATTCAGTACTAATTGAGTTTTTCGGCGCTTCTTCACTTCTTAACCGTCACCCCGATTTTAAGTTGTCTCAATGTCTCGCTGAACGCAGCTCCATGTTAGCCAGCCTCAATCTGGGGTTTGACAGCAGTGTTATTGAGGGCAGATACAACTGTCCCGTATCAATATTGTCGGAGCTACAGACGCATTTCATGAATATGAAGAGTTATTTTGCCAGTGGTGCTGCCCCGGGGAAGTACTCACCCCTGGGTGTGTTATGGCTAGATGACGCCAAATGTGCAGCACTGCTTGGTCAATCTATGCCACGATTCTACAAATCGGATCGAGCTATTAGTAAGGAGACCCTTATACCTGGTTAGATCTGATGTCAAAGAGCAGTACTGACCTTTCTGATGAAGTGGTTGTTGCAGCACGCGGCTTGCACATCAATGATTATTTACACGGTCGCCCTTTCTCCTGCAGCCACGACCTGGACAATCGATTAATTGGTCAGCTACTTAAGCAGTTCAAGGATCTAGATCTGCGTGCAATGCATGCAGCACCGTTCGCATACTACTGTTTAGCCCCCTGGCCAAAGCGCGATTCTCTCAAGGAGGCTGTTGTACGTTCTTTGACCCAGGCCTTGGAGAATATCTTCCAACTAACCATGTATGCAGAAGTTCATGTGGAAGTACTTCCAAATCGTTAAACCGTTGGTGTAGGTCACCTTCGGCAAAGAGATGGCGGCAATTATCGTCAGGGAGTCTGGCTTTTATGGTCCTTACACCACTCAAGTATTCCTCGATGAAGCTGGCCAGCCGATTCAAAGACGCATCGGTCGCCACCATTTCATTCATGTGCCACTGCTGGACCCCAGCCGATGCCGCTATGGTGAAGATTCCGTGGATGAGGCTGCTCAACGCTTCATGCAGACCTCCTTCTGGAACGCCATGCTTATTGGCGATATGATCATGCACGTCCTTGATGACGAAGAGGCCATCCAGAAAGAGATGAACAGACTGGATGAGAAGCGTTCAAATGACCGCATCACCGGCTATCTGTTGGGGAACGAAAGGGACCTGTGCGAACCAGATGATGATGTAGATTCCCCTGCCGCTGGACTTGCCGAGCACAACGATTCGCCGGCCATCTGCTCCCTAGCCATGCAGTTGTACCAGGAATCATTGACTGCCACTGACTGGGGTGAAGAATTTTCTGCAGAATTCGATCAAGATGCCAGAGCGCTGGCCGAGGTGGTCGAGGAGGTGCCTCAGTTCATTCCGTGATCATCAGTTGCACGCCCTTCACCCATTTGCACCCAAATGACGCTTGATTGTTTACCCCTTAACCTGCTATTGTTATATGTTCGAAGAAATGGTATAGCCATCATTGTCCTTTGCAATGCTCGGACTTTGGCCTTCGACATACAAAATCCTTTTCCTTGATTTTCTTTTAGGTTCGACACAGGGCCCTGCCTATGAGGTAACCGACATGGGCTTCTTGTTAAAAGAGTAGCCGTGAATACTGGCTGCGTTGGGCTGACTCTCTAGTATATTGCGTTTCATCTCTCTACCCTTCTCGTGTTGTCTCAGGCAGACTCCTGGTGAAGACAACTTGCCCAGCATACACATTGCAGTGTCCATGAGGCAATGATCTTGATATGAAAATTTGTGTGGTGGAATTTCCTTTCGTTTCGGGTTGCCCGTTACCTGCCTACTTTCTACATCGATAGGTAGAGACCCAATAAAAATGCCAGATTGATCTATGACCTTCCGTATTTGTACTGTGCTGAGAAGTAAGTAAGAGCATTGCGTACTTTAATAGGGAGAAAAGCAGCTAGTATAGTTATAGGAAAGAAATGAGCAAAATGGGTATCATTATTTCTCATTACATCTATCTTCATTATATGCAAATGTATGCAAAACGCGTCAAGTAAGCGCATTCCTGAACTCCCGCCATCTACCTTCAGCAACCTGCACAAATCTCCCTAGAACGTCAGCTCCGACGACGGTGCCGCCACTCTTCGATATACCCAAGATCTTGGTGTCCTCGCCTTCGGCAGAGCAATCCACCACGACCGTCACAGTCTCGTCGCACAGGGACTCCTCGAACCGGTCCGGGTCAACCAAGATCCAGAACGCACCCTTCTCGCCGCCCGTATTCCGGCTTTGGAATTGCTTCAGTCGCTCCTTGGCCGTGAATACCGCCGTGGTGCACGCCACGGGAAGTCCGGACACGGAGAGTGGGAGGGGGGCTTCGCTGCGCGAGCACAGGACTATTTCGCGATCAGCATCCCAGCGCGCGCGTGGTAGCTTCGTGTCACGCAGCGCCGCGAGCACGGCTGCCCAGGCGGCGTCGAACGGGTTTCCGTCAAGCGAGATGAAGAGGAGGTCGATGTACAACACCCAGTAGGCCATGACTTTCCGCGCGGGGGCGTCTATATCTTCTCCGTCCGTGGCATCTTGCATGCTCTCGTCATCGTCATTCCCTTCTCCCGCTGCGTCATCGTCGTTCCGCTCGTGATATATCCGCAGATCTTCGGCGTTCAGAACACCGGAGTTGTGCAGGAGCGAATAGACGCGTGTGCTCAGTGTCTGTGCTAAAGTTGTGGGGGGTACGCCTGGGAGAAAGTTCGGCGCACAGCCTGTGGCTAGCTCGATGTTGGGCACGAGGAGATCGTAGTCGCGGAGCTCGTCTGCGCCGCTTGCCGTGCTGGAGGGCGAGGACCGATAGTTTGGAATTTGCGATGTTGTCAAGGTCTCGCCTCGTACGCCACATATGACGGTTGTGTCGCCCGTGCGCACTACCGCGCTTCCATGGGCATGTGTGAGGGAAGAAGTGTTGATGGCGGGTGGTCTGGCTTGCGTTGGCTGGCGGCCGTTTGTGCGGGATGATGGCGTGCTAGTGTCTGAAGGCTGGAGGTTTGCGAGGAGATATGGATGCGGGGATAGCTTGGCGAAGGTGGCGCTCGAGAGCGTGAGGGAGCTCTGTGTGGCCATCCTGGAATTGACTGACTGTTCGCGAGGGATTCTCGAAGCGTGGTACTACAAGGGTTGTGACGTGAGCTGTGTTTAATAAGAGGTTTTGGAAATTTCAACGGGGCGCCTCAGCCTCGCGGGGCTACATAGTACAGGTGCTCGCTGGCTGCTTTGGTGGGGTTAGATAGGTACCTTACCTAGGCACCGGTATAGTGAATTTAGCACCTGTATCTGCAAGGCCACAGGGCCGCATTGGATGACTGCAATGCAAACCAACAGCACGCCTAACACGCCTAAAACGCCTACCGTTTGCTAAGGCACATGTAAGCACAGCCAGCGGCATCTGGGATGGTGGCACCGCAGACCATCGGCATCAATTGACATCATAAAGCTGTCAGTAACACGATGGCAGAGGCGTCTTGACCTCCAATCAAACGAGGTCCGCTCAACACCATCAGCTCAGCTGTGTTACCGGCATATTCATGCCTTGTACTTCGAAATACCGGTACTATCTATCACATGAAACACCCCGACAGCTTCCGTCCTTCGTCCTCTAGAGTAAGCAATAGGTAGGCAATTGATGAAATGCCTCCTCGGCTTATGTTTGTCACCGCGCTTTACGCCGAAATCTACCGTCTGTTACACCACGACATTCCAGTAATATGTACTTCATGATTGGGCATGTACATACTAAGTATGTACCTAGTATGGTCCTGACAGCCCATAAGACGTTCGAATTTGGTTTACGGCCAGCTATTTGCAAGGTTGGCTTATATCGCATCTACCCAACGACTCGACTATCTAATAGCCAAGGGCCAGCTTCTCCATTAAATACTAAGTAAGTAAGCGCAGTGATTTACAAACCAGGATAGGTATTTCGACATGCCCGAGACTAGGTATACTAGATACCTCAGCTTGATTCTAGACAGCTCGCTTATTTTCTTGTGTTCGGCGTCGAAGCGCTGACGGCATCAGCTACGGCAACGTAGGTGTGGGAAGCGAGGGGAGTCTTTCTTTGGCTATCATTCTGTGGCCAACGCATCTGGCTAACCGGTAGATACTTGCACTCAACAACGAGGCAAGGTGACGGTGACAGTGACGGATCACCTGGATCCTAAACTGGATGCTACCTGCCCAGCGTACCAACCAGCGTCTATCAACGGGAGAGATACCTAGAAAGATCATTACGACGTTGATATAACCGATCAATGGAATCGGTTGCAGAACGTGCTTCCCGCCGAGAGAGAGTATTCAATCCAGACCCGAAGGTTTGCACACAAGACGTCTGCAGCGTGCTACCTGTCTGTCACAGTGACGGTGGGAGCAATCTGCTGTCTTATCGAACGACGAGCGCAACTGTCGAATGAAAAACGCCTGATAGCTTCAATCTCTTCCGGGAGCTATAACAGCTCACCCTGAGCTATACTAGCTAGACTAAATAGTCGAGTTAAGTACAAGGGGTCAAAGTCTGTCTGTGCATCCAGATTCGCCAGACCGACAACGCGGATGCTACCCCTGTGGAGAATCAGCCGAGAGCTCTGGCAAATGAGATCAGCCTGTTACGCGCCCACACACGCACTTCGACTCCTTCCGCTTGTTTTTGTACGTGTAAATCCGCTTTCGTCGGTACAGTCATGGTGATGGACGGCAGTTATTGCTGGGGTCATGGATATGTGATTTGATTTACTTACATGTAGTCTATCTTCTTTCTCAGCTGCCGGAGTGAGTGACAGGCAAACATTCACAGAACATCAACTTCTCGCCGATGATTCTATCAATACACCAGGTCAAGTCCTCGACAAAGCTACAAGACCGGATCTCTCAAGGACGCAGGTTGCTGTGTAGCAGTAGTTTCTCTCGATTCCGGTAACGTATAGGTGTGACGAGCGACTCTCCGACTCGCTGCATCTTCTCTCCCCCCGTCCTGGTCGGGTCTGGGTCTGGCAAGATAGCGGTCCCAACCACCCTGTGGAATTCCTGTCACTCTCTGTTCGTTTGGCGGGAACGCTGCATATCCGGTCACTAGTGTAGGTACAACCAGCAGGTTGCATGGTGCAGTTTGGTGCAGTGCCTCGGACCCTGGTCATCTTCCCGGCGCCCGCATTGACGATCCTGGTCACAACGGCCCGCCAAGGGTGCTTGATTGTTCAACTCGATCTAGCGTCTACTCCTCTTTCGTACATTCTGCATGGGATTGAGTGCTGTCTGCGGGGAATGAATCGATCGTCGCCAGCCAATATTAAAGTGCGGTCAACCGCTGGGCCGGTCCCTATTCCTATTTCCTTAACTAGCACGAGTCCCCGGTGCACGTTGCTGGCATCTGATTGAACGATCGCTTCGAGGTTGGATGAGTCCCGTCTCGCACACCTGTGATCGTTCAAAAAGCTCATGATCCACCGTTCACAACGCTTACATAGTATGTGATGAGGTGACGCTTCTCTACATGTAGACGATGAGTATGTCGATGTCCCCACCTTGTTCAAGGTATCTATAGTTCATACCCGCTATCTTCATCTGGTATTACCCCAACACCATCTCGACTACTCTGATTCCTTCTTTGCTCTCTTCTTATCCTTGGCCAAGTCATGATTTCACCAGGGCACATGCACCTCGAGGAGTGCTCCTGACTGTGCTAGCTTTGGGGGTATCCAAGGCATCCTCTACGGAGCTCACTCATATCTACTATTCGATTTGTACGAGTGCGAAGGGCGGTTCATCTTATATATCCGTCGAATTTCGGAAAAAAAAAAACTAGGACACATAGGTGACCAGCAGCAGTCTAGAAACAGTCCTAAGCATTTCACCAGCGCGCCTTCAGTACTAAAACAAAAAGGTGACTGATGCCATTGAGACCTACGACATAGTGTCTGGGAAACGCGAACCCATTCATTCGCCATGGCGCCAAACCACCCGATTATGGCGAGAGCCATTGGAATCGTGGAAAGGCTCACTAAGCGTATCTCCATACCGGTTACGCCATCAAGCCCTCCTGGCTTAATCGAAGCAACCACGGTCGATCCATGGGAGAAGTCAGGGAAGTACGGCCTCGCATGGACGTATTTCAGCTTGGCTTTCATAGCAGTCGTGGTAGTTGTGAGAATATGGCATTGGTGGCAAGATAAGATACGACAAGCCATCTATAAGCAAGAGGTGGAGCAACACTACCGAGATTTATACAGCCTCGACCCGAACCAAGTCGTGACCGGAATGCAGACAAGCCAGACCGGCAGACATTTCTTTCCCGAACAGGCCGGAGAGAAAAAGGATTTCAAGCCTAAATCTGACTTCTCTGCTGTCGGGCCGGTGCTCGATGCTCTGGCCTTGTTCAGATGGGTTTTCTACCGACCAATTCCCGATATTGTATGGCGCAAACATCGGTTTACATTTTCGTCGCTCGCCGTTCTAACTGTTGGATTTATTGCGCTCGCGTTTACGTCTTTGTTTGTCTTTCTCAAACAGCCGCTCTATTGGCAAAGTATTCAATACGGTTCGCCACCAGTCGCCATCCGAGCTGGCATGATCGCTGTTGCCATGACTCCTTGGATTATAGCGACTAGTATGAAGGCGAACCTGCTTACACTTATCACGGGCATCGGGCCAGAAAGACTAAACGTATTTCACAGATGGGCAGGATATCTCTGCCTTTTCCTCTCACTGATACACACGATCCCCTTTTTCGTTCAGCCTGTGTGGGATGATGGCGGGTTGAAGATCTACCAAAAACTTTTCCCTCAAGGCGTCATATACGGTACGGGTATCGCATGCCTTGTCCCCTTAGGATGGCTTTGTGTCGCATCACTGCCTTTTATCCGTAGAATAGCCTATGAGTTATTCATCACACTACACATTCCCGTTGGGATCTTGTATGTCGGTCTACTCTTCTGGCATACAAAAAACTACCTGGCGACTTGGGACTACCTATATGCTACCATCGCTATATGGGTCTTTTGCTATATTTACCGCCTATCTAAGTTAAACTGGGTTAAGCCATGGCGCTCATCATTCTTGGTGGGGGACGAAGCAGCCATTACTCTAATGACGGAAAATGCCATTAAAATCACCATCCCAACTCAGATGAAGTGGAAGCCTGGACAGTTCGTATACCTCCGAATACCAGGAATTTCATTCATGGACAATCACCCCTTCACTATCTCATCACTCTGCAGTGAAGATTTCCCTTCAGAATACGGGGAACAATATAGAGACTGTACTGTTGTCTTCAAGCCATACGGTGGCTTTACACGGAGGGTCCTGGAGACAGCCATAGAGAAAGGGCCTTTCCACACGTATCGGGCATATCTTGACGGCCCTTATGGCGGCATGCGCCGAGAGCTTGCCGCATTTGACACATGCATTCTGATCGCTGGAGGAAGTGGTGTTACCGCAGTCATGTCTCAATTGTTAAACTTGATTAAGCGTATGAGAGATGGTAAAGCAATCACGAAAAAAGTGGTGGTAGTGTGGTCGCTCAAACGACTCGAGGCAATGGATTGGTTCCGTGAAGAGCTGCGAATCTGCCGTGACTCGGCACCCCCAGAGAGTGTGACATGCAAGTTCTTCGTTACGTCGGCAGTTCGGCAGTCACGAATTTCACCACAACATCAGCGTGCTCCTCGCCCTCTCAGCAATGTCTTCCATGATAGATTAGACGGGTTCGTAGCTAATATTGCTTCGAAGCGCCATTCGCAGATGATTCGAGACGAAGCGCAAGGAAACCCAGAGTATGAGGAGCAGCTCCGGGCCGAAGATGAGGATAAATTTACAGCGCTTCCCCAGCAAAAATATCTTCAACCTAATTACATCCCTCCTCAACATTCACAGCCAGCAAATGAATTATCGCCTCAAGAAGAGTCCTTACGTCGGTTAGAAGGCCGAGCTGGTGTTGATGAAGACGTTGAAGTGGAAGTACCCCAGCTCAATGCAAACGGATATCCGGAGGATAAGAAAGGGGAGTTCCACTTTCCGCCACTCAAACTGCGTCCTGATATGCAGCCACATTTCAATTACGGCCCTCCCTCCCCGCGAAATTTCCCGCCGTCGACCGGCCCAGAAGCTGCTACGAGTACCCCTCCGCAGGGCGCGGTGCATCCACCCGAGCTTGCCCATCTCCGTACGACTAACCTGCCAGGCCAGTCAGGGGCACGGCCAACATCTACTTTCGGTCCACCTTCGGGATTCGACTTCGGTTTCCCTGCAACACCAACAGAGTTCCAGAAAAACTTGATGCGCTTTGCCTTCCCAGTACCTCACCAGATCGATGGTGGATGGAGCGTCGAGTACGGACGACCGGATCTAGCGTACATGCTTCGGGAGTGGACAACCGGAGGCTCTGACGGGCGAGGTATTCTGGGACGGAGAACCGCCGTCTTCGTCTGCGGCCCGGCCGGCATGCGTGTCGGCGTAGCCAACACTGTAGCTCGGCTACAAGCTGAGATATGGGGTGATCCCATGCTAGAGGAGATCTTCTTACACACAGAGAACTACGCACTATAATACCAGGCTGGAAAAACAAGGAGCATGAGGAGCCACTTGTATATATCATTGGGCAATTGGGCGATTTACGACATGTATGTATTATCTGTGTGCGTGGAGGCAAGACCCCACGTGCTGGCTGGCCTATTTGTTACGAGGAGCTAGCATTGAGGGCAATGCGATAAGCTCGGCGTTCTAGGGTGTTTTTCGAGATACCAACTGAAGCATATACCTATATGACTGGGCGTTGTTTGGTGCGGTGGGCACTTGTACCAGTACCTGAGGGAAATGTCTTGCGATGATGAGACTGATTTTTAGATGATACCTACAAACTGAATTGTTGATCATTTAGTTTCGGTATCTGCTTAATATATCCTTTCTAAGCGTATATTTAATCCTCTTCAACGTCGTGATGTTCCAGGTTGTCAGGTTCAGACAGTGTTTCTTATTTTAAGCAGTGACTATGAACTTAGAACCAATAGCGAATGAGGTGGACATATAACTCAAGAGGTCATGAGAAAAGTTGTAGCAGATGGCACTGCACCACCGGCTGTATGGTCCGAGGGCCGTTGACGTATTCAGAAAGCCCCATCTGAAGCTTGCACGGCCACGTAACATCAGAGTTGGGTTACATGTATAGGCATGTATAGAAGCTTCAACTCCCTGCTGTACACTAGAAATGGAATTTATGGCTGCAACAGCTGCAACCTAAACCCTCCTGATATAAGTAAAGTGGACGGTTGAGGATAAACCGGTTGCTGTCAAAAGCGTTGTGTAACGTCTGCCAAATAAGGAAAGTAGAACACAAAGTAACAACACACAGAGACTCGGAACTTCAGTAATCTCCTATTTGAGACATAGAATCTGTGCCTAGGTACATCTACGTAGTCATTAGATAGACAGCACAGGTCATCATGTTCGCCTCGGAGAGAGAGGGCTTTACAGTGTGTCTTATACAGTGTACATAAATAAACTAACTGTGTTCAACGTCCAATCCCATCAAGCTTTTCTTTCGTACTGCCCTGTATGGCTAGTTCAAGGCTCTCAAGCCGGAAAAGCTCACACCTGCATCTTGAAAATGTCCATTTACCTTCACTTGTATCAGCGAGGAGGAGGTGCGCGCTGATTCAAGAACACATCCTTTCCATTTATAGTGAAGGGAGTCAGCAATTATAGTCGCGGCTGAGACCTTTGCCCAGACCTTTTCACTCGATAATGAGCACAGACCATTCATCAGTGATCCCTCATATGAAGCTCCCAGGATGAAACAAAAGTAGGGAAAATCGAAGAGACTCGGCTGCCAGTACCACTAAACAAGCTGGGAAGTAAGTCAGTATATGGAGAACAAGTTCAAAAGACGTGTATTTAGAACAGAAACGCCACGGTTACAACAGGATATCATTTGGGTGAGAAAAAATGGCCGACAGTGAGAATGCAGCCGACGTTGATGTGGAGATGGAAGGGGCCGAATTGGATATTGGCCAGGTCAACAAACCGGCTGCCGGCAGGACAACCAGCGCCGACATCCTCGAATCAACACCTCAGGCAAACAACAGCAGCTTCTTTCACGTCTCTTCCAGTTTCGAGTTGAAGCCAGATCCAGAGGAGAAGAACCCACCGCCACCAACACCATCTTCATCGCCCCCAGGTTCCTCCAATATGAGGTCAGCACCTAAGAAGAGGGGCACAGCCGCCACCAAGAAGTCCTCAAAGAAGGCGAAAGGGTCCAAGTCAAAGGCCAAGTCTACGGGTACCTCTGAAAAGGGCGGAGAGAACGAGGGCAGCTCAGACGATGAGACCGACAACGGTCCGTACTGTCTATGCCGAGGACCGGACGACCACAGATGGATGATAAGCTGTGATGTGTGCGAGGACTGGTTCCACGGCGAATGCGTCGATCTCAGCAAAGAGATCGGCGAGAAGCTCGTCGAGCGCTTCGTCTGCCCGAACTGCACGGATGGCAAGAAGAATTACACCAAGTACAGGAAGACCTGCGCGCTGCCTAACTGCAAGCACCCCGCCCGGCTCTACACCAAGGCCCTCAAGGACAGAAGCGTCTTCTGCTGCAACGACCACTGCGACGCCTGGTGGGTGTCTAGAATCTCCACGCTGCCCACCAAGGCTGCATCTAAATCGGCCCTCGAGGTCCTCACGCAAGAAGACTTGATCGGCCTGCTCATCGCCACTGCTGATAAAGGTGGCTGGAAGCTAGGCGATAAACCATTCGGTACATTTTTCTCAATCATGTCTAACCACTCTCTTTATACTCAACACGCATGTCCTGAACGGATTATACCCCAGAGACAATCACATATTCTCCTCACACGCCTCCTACTCACTGATACATATTCCGCGAATCTCATCTCCAATAAACTGACAACCTCCCAGGCAACATCGAAGGTCTCTGGGCAAACGGTCTCCCGACACGTCCAGACGTGCTAAGCGAAGAGGAGCAAGCCTTCCTCCAAGCATCGAGCGCCGAGCGCCTCGCCCTCGGCAACGAGATCGTGCAGTACAAGAAGATGATGCAGCTCCTCGACTGGGCCAACTCGCGGCGCCAGGCGGCGCTCGAAGCCGGCAAATTCACCAAAGACAGCTGCGGCTACGACTGGCGTCTCGACACGGTGTCCGTGCGGTCGCAGTTCGCCGCCTGGCTCGATACCCCGGAGGGCCAAGCCGTCTTCAAAGCCGGGAAGCTCGAGGCTCCCATCACCACCAACACCAACAATACTGATAATCATAATACTACTGCCACTACTACTAACCACGTCTCCGCGGAGCATATGGCCGACCCGGCCATCCGCGGCACCTGCGACCGGAAGCGCTGCAAGCCCCACGCGGGCTGGTATAAGTTACTGATGGGCGTCGTCCGGGTGCTCATCAAGGAGACGGCGACGGCGGCAGCCGCCAAGCTTGAGGCCGAAGAGGCCATGCGGACCGCCGCCGAGGCGCGGTACGAGAGGCGGCAGCTGGAGAATAACTACGTCGAAGTCCTCAGCGAGGACTAATTACGCCCCCCCTTCCCCCCTTTCCACCGTCTCATCAACTTGACTAAAATCGGAGAGATGGGGGGAAAAGGGAAAGAAAAGCAAGGAAAGAGGAGAGGAGTGGATAGGAGACGAGAGAACACGAGATATTGAGATCGGACTTTTGTTGCATGTCCCTCTGGCCTGAATCATCATCGCCTTTTTATTTATATAGCTACCTACCTACCTGTCTTGTTTCGTTGTCGGCAGCTATCCGCGGCTCATTATTCCGAGGACGGACGGAGCGACACTACCACGTCTCCCAGTATGTCTATCTACCTGATTACGAATAGGTAAATAGATAGATGAATGAATGAGCAGTGGTAGTCATCATCGACGTGAGGCAGCCGCATACATGCATGTATGTATGTATGTCTCACATTCCTGGCAGGGACTATTTCTAGGTGTCTACCTGCTCAGGCAAATACAAATGACAAAACATCATGTTTCACAAAAATAGCCGAGTCAGTCAGTTACTTGCTTCATTTCATGGCCTGGAAACTTTTTTTTTTTTTTTTCATTCTTTCTCTTTTGCTTCTCTCCAGCATATACTATGTAGATTATAAACCAAGCAGGTAGGTAGGTGGGTAACCACCCAGGAAACCAGGGGAAGTAAATAACTACATCATATTTTGAATGCTTCCTAGGCATCTCACACTTCCTCTGTACATCTCCAAAGCCGGGAAACCTCATAGATAAACAACGACGTCAGCTCTTACAATCACCCATACTCCTAAATGAAGACAAAATAAATCATTTCGAACAAATGGTATCATAATCCCCAAATAGAACAACCTGAACCCGAGGAAAACTAACGACAAAAAGGTATTATTGAAAACAGATGAAATGCACGGCGAATAATAAAGCTTTCGCAAAAGCTGGGTTGATAGACCCAGAGAGGGGAGAGGGGAGGACAACGCGGAATCTCGAGAACTTCGTCCTTGCTGATCGAGTGATGGCAATTATGCAAAATTACCAAAGAATAGTACCAAAACAAAAGGCAACCCGCTTTCCCTCAAACTCCGTTAATATGTGTAAGGAAAATGTTCAGAATCTCATGACGCAGCCGCGAGGCTATTATTCTCACTCTACCATCTCTTACAGCCGTGAGGCTCCCACTTTGCTCTAACCAGGACATGATGATGGTCATCGGTGACTCTGTCCAAGACCTTTACTTTTCATCTTTTTTTCTCCCTCCCGTTCACGTCGACTGCTCGGTATGTTGTATTTAATATTCCGGTAAGAGGTGCCGACGCGCGGTGGCCTCTCTTTTATGTGTGGCAGTGTTGTCACACCGCCGCATTTTTTGTGGTGTTGTTGAATTATGGTGGACTAGCAAACATTCGCTGATTAATGCTTTGCCTCGGTTCGTATTGTTGTCACCTTGTAAGCTTGGATGGTGCAACGAGTGGCAGCGTCTTTGTTTGCTGCTGAATTTCCCCCACTCTTCTCCTCTTCCTTTGCAATTTTTGAGGTCTTCTAACCTGTGGGTGGGTTTTGGTTTTAGTTTCTTTCCTGAAGCAGATGCATGCGCCTGCGCGCTCTTATATCTTAGAAAGGAATAGCTTTTTTGGTGCATCATTCAGCGCGTGGCTATGAATAGGGACTAATATCATTTAATGTCGGTGTCGACGACTCGAAGACCCACTGGAATGGCCATGATGTCGATGGGAATGATGATGGCGGTGGCCGTCGCGATCTCGCCGTGATGTGTTCGAGTACTCTAATTCACGCTCCAGCTGCTCGACACGCTGGCGGTAGTCCCTCACGATATCCCGGATGTGGGCAATGCGGTCGAAATCAACCTCGAGCTCATCGATCTGGCTCATGATGTCCTGGAAGCGCGCAATCTCAGCATCGGCGTTATCCACCAAGTTGCCAGCACGGTCATACTGCTGCATTGTCACGATGGAGCTCTGTTCGCTGAGATACTCAATGCGAGCTTGGATCTGATGCATCAACCGGTCGAGATGGCGCGAAAGGGTAGCGAGGCTAGAGCTGTCGAGTAGAAGACGGCCCTGCGACGACGCTCGGCTGGCGGCGCGTGAGGATGAGGACCCGGCGGCCTGAGCCTGGTGGTATCTGAGAAGTGCGATCTCCTCGTCCGTCAGGCCCAATTGCGTGTCCTCGACAGTGTTGACCTCCGTCGACGGCATGTCTCGTGGCCCACGGCGGGAAGCAACACTAGTAAGTGTGCTGCGTCCAGGACGACGGTGGCGGCAACAACGGTACCGAGGACGATTCTAAACAGGAAGGCCGGGGGATGACAAGGAGAGTTCGCAGTGACTGCTACAGCTTAGCAGTCAATCAATCAATCGCTATGTAGTGTGGGTAGGGGCAGGGGCACGAGTATGGTTGGCGGGCACAGGCGGGGCAGATGCAAATGCGGATGCGGATGCAACGTCGCCTCGATTCGGAGTCGAAAGAGGAGGATGCGAATGCGACACCCTCAGGTAAAGCGTCGAATGTACCGAGGCGCACAGCGGCTTCATTGTCTCGAGACGGCGATGACAGGCTCGATTGTCATCGCACGGTGGCTTGCGTTTGATTTCGGTTGGCTTGAGCTGGGCCAGCAAGCAGGCAGGAAAGACAGACAAACACGTGGGCACAGGCAAGCAATACAAGGGCGGTCAGCTCTTTTCCTGCTTATTTACCGTTTCCCTTGACGAAGGAGAACTGCCAAGGAGATGTGCGTTTGACTGTTAGATAGTGGGATGGATGGCTGCAGCAGTTCGCAGGGGGGGGGGGGGGGGGGGGGGCAAGAGCCAAAAGGACGGCAAGGGCGAGAAGGGGCACCGAGAAGAGAGCGGGGGTTTTGGAAAAGAAAGGCTAGGGTAGGTTGTTTAATCACACACGAG